TTTTCCCCTGAAGAAAAGGATATCTAAAACCAATTACTTTTTTTTTTTTTCTTCTCTAACATAGTGATACATAAAACTTAACTTCTTGGTTGGAAATGGCTACAAGGTTCCAAACTACAATTTTTATTCAAATTAATTCATACATATGAGAACTGTTCCACCTCACTTCTCCAGCCTAGAAATTAACAAAAGACAAGTAGTGGTTTTAATATGTCATTTACAGATCATTAAATTCGCTAAGATATAACATTACAGTTCCCTAAATAGTTTCTTATCTGTGTAACAACTTAACGGAAAAGCAATCTACAAAGATTTTTTTTTTTTTTTTGCGGTACGCAGGCCTCTCACTGTTGTGGCCTCTCCCGCCGCGGAGCACAGGCTCCGGACGCGCAGGCTCCGCGGCCACGGCTCACGGGCCCAGACGCTCCGCGGCATGTTGGATTCTCCCGGACCTGGGCACGACGCCGCGTCCCCTGCATCGGCAGGCGGACTCCCAACCACTGCGCCACCAGGGAAGCCCCAAATATTTTTAAACTTCCCTAATGACCAATTTAAGAATGGGAATTACCACCAAATATTTTAGAAACTAAATGAGCACTACAACTGAAAATCTTTAACAGTTCTGCAGCAAAACTGTTCTAGTAAATCTGTTTCTCTGATCTCTTCAGAGCTTAGTTTCTTGAAACAATACTAGTTTCTCATTACCTGTCTTACTCCTCCACCAAATGGAATCTGGCTTCTGCTGGCTGAGTTTATCCACACTGACTTCTCTGCAGCACTAAACACTGTAAACTACTTCTCTCTTAGCTTCCGTAATTCTACTCTCCCTTTGTTTCCTTTTTTTTTTTTTGCCTGTAAGTCTTCATGACTCCTTTCTCTTCCAACTACTGCAAAAATGGTGCTCACCAGTGAGCTCTACTTAGTCTCTCTCTTTCAATTTTGAGCGTTCTAATGCACTCCCATAGTTTTGGCTGGTGATAGCCATTTAGGGTTCTATCTCCCACAAGCCATTCTCCATCCTATTGGTAGACTAATCTTTCTAGAACACAAATCTGATCAGATCTCATCCCTTGTTTTAATCTAAGAATAGAGTCCAAAATCCTTAAAATGGCATATAATGCTTTCATGATTCCTTTCCAATCTCACCTCTTCCATGTTTATCACAATTTATGCATAGCTTTGTGTCTAGGTTCTTCTGTTCTTCAAATTGACCCCAATTCAAATATCACCCACTATGTGAAGTCCGGCAATTACTTGCTCCCCCACCCCACCATTACATACTCTCTGTACATAAACTATGTAATTATCTACATTTACATCTCACTTTTCCAATGTAGCTACAGTAAATTAAATAAATATATATGACTAGAGTCCTTGGAAACATTCACAAAGGGAAAAGATTCAATACGCTAACAAAAAAATAAAATAACTAAAGGACAGAAAAATGAGAAGCAACTGAGCTATGACTAATTAATCTCCTTCAAGGCTAAATGAAATCTCCTACTTCTGTGTATGCAGAACAGCTATGATGATACCAGCACTTAAAAGATTTAATTTGAAATTGGTCAAGATGCAATTTCTAACTGAAACCTGGTTTAAAAAAAGAACAGCCATTCAACCTTTACAATTGCAGGTGAAACTGGAATGACTTTCTACTGATGAGACACTGGACTCATTATGTTAGCTTTGATCAGATTTGAAAGTTTAAATCAACAGCCATCCAAAGGAGATATATGCTAAGATTGACTGACAAAGTGTCTCTCACTAAGGAAAATTAAAAATGAATGAGAATGAAAATAACTACTGCAATAGAATCTATTTGGTGTATTAGATTCTGATAGAATCTAATATCTAAATAGAATATGGATCTAAGTAAAATAGAATCTAAATAGAATCTAAATAGAATAATGGTTATTCTATTTCTTTAAAGCTGCATCCAGCATACCTTAATTATTACAGAAAAAAAAAAGTTTTAAAAAACAAAAACCCACCTGCATTCATGCTACCTCACTTCTAGATTATGGAAGTGAGTCACAGAATAATCCTTATTCTTTCTTAATGCAGTATTTGTAAAATGTCATTATTACAATCATACAGTGGAAATATGAATTAAACTTAGTACAATCATGGTATTAAAGGAATTTGAATTAACAAAATTTTGTATTACAAATTTTGTTTGCTCACATTACACAACAGTGGCTGGGAGCTATGTTTTCCTTCACAGATTCTTATAAAGAATACCACCTCTAGGATGGATTAGTGATACTTCACAAGGAAAACAATGAGCAGAAGATCAAAACAATCATCCTTAAGTGCAGCATCTGTGAAAAGAAAAACAGCAAGAGAGCTCATTTCTGATAAGTTACTACAGAAATCAAACTGGATATTTTCCCGTACTTGTTTCACAACATCATGTGCCTGTTCATTAAAAAGAACATATAAGATTAACAATTAATAAAGGTATGTGGTAGAGGTATTGAATGAATGGACAGAAAGAAGGCAAAGGCAGGAGGTAGGCAAGTCCACGTACCACTTCCTTCTCTAATATAAAATAAGAAAAAACTTTAAGCTCCCATAGTACTTTTTACATACCTGAATTTGAACTTTTTACACTGAACTATAATTATTTACATTTGCCTCTCCAACACAAATTAGAAGTTACATCTTTGTATTCTTAAAAAATTTACATATTTGTACTTAAATAGCCTTTCCATTTTTAGGCTCAGAATTGACAACAAATCCTTGGTTAAAAAAGTATCTTGGGCAGAGGTTTTCTAACTTTATTGAAAGAGCATTCCTCTTTTTAAAAGTTAAATACCTACATGATTTTTTTTCTGAAACAATCCTGGAGTGCTCCTAACCCAACTTTTGATTGTAGAAGTTTTTTCAGAGCAGTAGCACCAGAAGCTCCTACTTCTTACCTAAACCTACATTTCTGGTCCCCTTCCAATCCCGACATCTGGGAAAGACAGTTTGGTCCTAAGTATTCTGTGAAAAAAATGTTGAGTGTCTCCCAAACTAATGTCTTTATATATAAGTTTCATATATAATGAATATATTAAAAAATCATTACACCATGGAAATTACAACCAGTAATAAATGTTCTAAGTAAACTATTTTTATGCAGTTATCATGGAATATGTCAAGACACAGTTCTACAAAAAATCTGAAAAAGTATATATTACATTACTACAATAAATTATAATATTATATATATAACTGAATCACTTTTCTGTACACTTGAAACACACGTTGTAAATTAACTATATTTCAATTAAAAAAAAAAGTTTTTTAAGACATAGTTCTACAAACACGTCTTAAAATGGCAAACCCTCAGATGAGTAAACTCAGGAATGTTTACGATAACTATGAATAAGATTAGAGGGGACAAAAACCAGATTATTTTGCTATTTTCCTTCTTAACCTCTCCATAGACTCCACCTTCCCATAAACCCCACAGTTTCCAGTATATTAAAATAAAAATGCTGTTAAGTTTCATTTTCTATCTAGCCCACATTTGTCAGCAGTAAGAGTTATAAAATGTCCAAAATGTGAACATAATAAATAGAAAAGTTAAGGAGGTAAAGTTTCCCCCAAAGATATGTGAATTTCAAACCTCTGAATTTGAGTTGGCGAGTAAGATACCAGTTCTTTTTTTTTTTTTAACTTTAAAAAAGCGGCAGTGTGTAAGAGTAAATCAAGAAAGGTAGAAACAGAATCACAAATAAAACCAGTAGGATTATGAACGATGAAACCTCACAATTTTCAATGTGACACTGCAATATGAAATAAGCAACAGTATTCCACAAACTTTTTATGGCCAATATTTTTTTTCTCCCTCTTAACAATCTAAGGCAACTTCACATAACAAAGTTCCTGTACTAGCAAAAACAAAGGCTAATGAAACTTGGGCTTCTGATGTAATACTGCAAATCTGATTTTACACTGTCTCAGATTCCACCAGTTTGGCCCCCATCCATAACACGTTCATGTTAAAAAGCAATACACCCAATAAAGCAATTTTAAGAAATAACGCTACAGTTTGACACATGGGTGGGGATTACCAAAGAACCGCCTACGTTAAGTATACTGACACAGTGAAAACAAGCGGTTCTGACGGTTCCGAAAAGTTACTCATCTCACAGATCTGAGAAGACGCTAAAGGGAACTTCAGTGACACACCCAGGGCAGACCGCCACGTTAAGGATACAACTCTTCCGAGGTGGAGAGGGCTCTCGCCAGCTCTGACTGCTGCCGAATCCGGATCCAGCTCCTCCTCCCAGAGGAGGTCTGCCCCCCGGCTTGCCTCCTCGCTCACCCCCTCCTCGCCCCCGACTCCAGCGACTCCCACCCCGGTAAGGCCTGCCTCGAAAACGGAAACGGTCCAAGGCGATGTGGCTCCGTTCCCAAAAGGACGGTCGGGGGCTGCTTTCGGACAGTGAGCTCGAAGGCATCCGCACGGAGGGCGGGTGAGACCGGAACGGCTCTTTGGGTCGGTAGCTGCTGTGTCCCCTGAGGTGGCCCCGCTCCGACGCGTGCCGCGAGCGTGAAAAATTCCTCAGCTGCTGCTGAGAAGAGGACGATGACGAGGAGGAGCCACCGCCTCCGCCGGATCCACCGCCCCGGGCCGGGTGAGGAGGCCTTCGCCGCGGGTACGGTAACAGCCCGCCGCCACTGCTGGTGCTGCTGCTCCGGCTCCGTACCTGGCTGTTATTATCGTCGTCGCTGATCTCCCCATCTTCAAGCTCCCCTTCTTCCTTGGGCGAGAGGCCACTGGAGGCCGGGGCCGGAGTATCTGCAGTCGCCATCCCGGGAGCAGCGCGTTCCACACAACCTTAGCGCTCTGTCCGGGGATCCGCCCGTCAGCTGCCTTCCTGCTCAGTTTCCTTCTTTCTCAACGGACCCGGTCGGTGCGGCCTTACCCTACTTGCTCACCTAGCGGGCTCTGCTCCCCAACTTCCCCGCACCCCAGCTCTTTCTCGCCGGACCGTCGCAACCCACTTCCCTGCCCTAGCGCCCCCTTGCTCCTCCGCGGTCTGGGCTCTTCCGCCTCGCGAGAAGAGAGCTCTGGAAGTGGCTCTGCTCGTGACGTCACTTCCTGCGGCACGCAGGAAACAAGGCTCCCAGTTCACGCGATAATAATTAGGACAACGTGATTCTCACTGGGAGTTGTAGTCTTTTTTTTTTGGCTCTCGCTTAGAGTTTGTCCTTCCAGTCTGAGGCCCGTCCCCACTCCAGACGCTGCTTTGGGGTTTCTGGGTGCGTGGCGGGGTAGGCGGGCCCGTTCTTAATCTCGGCCGTGAGAGTTTCAGAGTGATGGGGGGATGGGAGGGACACACGTCTTTTTTTTAATTGCTCGGAGGACAGTTGCTGAAGAGAAGCAGTAGTCCTACTCCCTTTTGGGAACCTGAGAGAGGACGGGGTGCGTCCGCCATGTTGGTGAAGGCAAACGAAGGGAACTAGAGCTCCAGGACTGTCGGCTCCTGTGGCTCAAGTCCGCCATATTAATAAAGAGAAAGGGAAGGCTGACACCCCCGCTCCCCGCACACATACGTACACCCTTTCTTCCCACCTAGCTCCCTCAGCTTAGCTGGGTGGGCCCTTCCCCAGCCTCGCTTGCCCAGTCTCTTCCCGAAGGAAGCGTAGCAGCCCGCGCCTCAGATTAGGCTTAAGACAGCGCCGAATGAGGGCGAAAGGGAAATGCCGACCAATTGCGCCGCGGCGGGTTGTGCTACTACCTACAACAAGCACATTAACATCAGCTTCCACAGGTAACCTGGGCAGGGAGTGGGGGTGACGGAAACGGGAGTTCCTAGGCTGGGTCTCGCTTGTGTGGAAAGAACAGGATTCTACTAATTCTAATAACTTCGCTAGCTAGTAGCAGGGACGCATCATTTTTGCCCTTTGTGTGTGTTTCTCAAATCTGTCCAATTTTTCGCTCCCTTCGGGGAAGGTTTACTCACTTTGTAAAAGAGAGTCAAGTTCTCTCCGTAATTACTCCTTCTCTAGAAAGTGACAGGAGGATACCTTAATTTTCTATTCTTTTACTCCCTATGTGTTAGACCAAGTTTTGATATTAATGACGCCATAAGAGGAAGCAAGATCTGCCTTTTCAAGTCAGCAATCACCTAAAAAGCCTGCTGTGTTCCCGTATAATTAGTCAATTCTCACTAGCTGGATTGACATGGGAAGCATTTAAATTTCAAATAGTCACGCACAGTAACTCTGCGGAAAAATTGAGTCATCATCGTAAGTAGCCGTGGAATTAAGCGATGTTAATGAAAGTGGAAAAAATAAGCTTTCTATTCTTACTAGAACAGAGTAGTATAAAAAGAACCCAGGTTATGTTTTGCCTTCGTTTGCTGGAAGAGCAATCAAAATTCTTTATTTCTGTCAAATCAGAACTCTGGAAAGCGCTTTGAACCCTACATGAAACATAATAAGTACTTGGTAAATGTTTACCTTCTCTGCAAGTGCCTGCCATATGCCTGAAGAAAAGAAGCATTCAAAAAGTTAAGTACAAACAGTTCCGATTTTATATACCTCACAACTTAAGATCTTAGAATGTAGAAAATGATATCCTTGACCTTTCTTCCTACTTCATTATGACAAAATGTACCCACTTATTAAAAGTTACCACTTAAAAAAAAAATCCTTGTGATGTTTCTGTTTTTCATCTACTTCATGCAAATGTAGTGCTTTATTCATTCATCCATCAAATGTGTACCAAGCTCTTATTTCCCCGACATGGTGTTAGGGATCCAGAGAATTCTTAACCTTCCTGGAGTTGGAATGAGAAAGACCAACATAAATAATTGTGGTCAAGTGCCAAAGAAGAGACCTTCAGGGTCTCTAACTTAGCCTTGGAAAGTCAAAGAACACTTCTCAAAGGATGTGAAATTTCAAACGAGACCAAAAGATGACATAGATTTGGTCCTGTACGATACTTAAAGGATTTTCTATTTTATCCAATGAGTACTTGAGAAGCTATGGAGGGCTTAAAAAGAATGGCGTGATTAGATTTGTATATTAAAAAGCCCTCAGGCTGCAGTGCAGAGAATTACAGTGTTACTTAAAGTGCTGGTCAAGCATCATCAAGAGATGAATTTGACAGAAAGGAGCTTATTACAGAATGTTGATGCACCTGCTATTTCACAAGGATATCCTGCTACAGCATCAACTGAACTAAATGTACTTCTGTTGCTGGCACAATCAGCACTAGATTAGAAGAGGTGAGCGTTGATAGAGAAAAAAGTTGGGAACCTGTAGTAAAACAATGGAGAGTCCACCCAGTGGCCTAGACTACAGTGGTACTGACAGTAGAGAAGGAAAGTGGACAGACTTGAGAAATGTTTGAGGAGAAACTACCGTATATGGTCATTTGATTTGGAAGATGAGGGGGAGGGAGGATTCAAGGGACCAATAATGACTGTTTAGGAGATGCACAGTGGTACCCTAACATACATACCTCCTCTCCGTGTTTGACTGTTTGCTATGAAATTAACATTTTCATGTGTAACCCCGGAAGTTTAGGTGTTAAAATAACATTATTTATAATAAAATTAATCCCTATTTCATAATTAACACTATTCACTCCTTTCCTAGGACATTGGTAGACTTCTTTATCCCCATGTACAGCTTATATTGCCTAAACTTACTGTCACCATTTTTCTTTTACTCAGCCCATTCCAGTCTAAGTGTTGCCAATAATAATCTTTTGAAACTGTTCTTGCTAACATAAATTGTCACTCCAGCGTCCTTTTTTCATGGCATATGATCATTTCCTCCTTGAAATACTCTCTACTTTGAATTATTTGATACTAATTTTGTGATTTTCATCTTACTTTTTTGGCCTAACTTCAGTCTCCTCTGCCACTCCACCCCCTGACCAAGGTCTTCCCACTCTTATCAGAAGGATTGCAATGGTTCCTGTGGTCTTGGTTAACATTTACCTGTTAATGCCTCCCAAATCAATACCTCTGGTCCAACTCTCTCTAATGAGTTTTAGACCTATCGGTAAAGTGTCTCAGTTATTTCCCTGGTCTCTTCAGTTCCTCACATTCAGCGTACTAAAACTGTACTACTGAACTTGCCCTTCCCCCAAACCTACACCACTTCCCATATTCCCTTTCTCAGTAAATGGAAACACCATCCACCCAGAAACCAGGAGGTCATCCTCCCTTGACTTCTCACCATTCCCTCTCAGTTGTATTATTACAACAACCTTTTAACTGGTTCACTGCTTCCATTCATGCACTCCTAACCGCTCTTCTATAATCAATAGTGTGTTGCTAAATTTTTAACAACAGGATTTCCAGGAAAGGGGGAAAGCCCTGATTTGTAATGTTTGTCCAATTTCCATGATATAAATACTCCCACCATAACTGGTTATAAGCTACGAATATGACATCACTGATCATGGAGTTGGGAAGAAACATGCAATACTACCCTATTCTATAGCATTTATTCCATACAGGTGTAACAGACATAAGTAACCTGAAGAGTATAGACAACAGTAAAATAATTAGGAAGTGATGGGTTTTTAGTATTTATTACCTTTGTTTTTAATTTATTTAAATGCAAACTTACATAATTTAATTTTTAATAATGGCTGTGTTTAACAACCAGTTAAAACATTTTCTGTTGACAGCTCTAAATTAGGCCTCTTAATGGCTTACCAATGCCATTTTGGATAAAGTTCAAAATTACTCTTTAACTTGGAAAGTCCTCCATCTTCGTTTCATGTCATAACACTCTTCCTGTCCCCAAGATACTCTTTAACACTCTTCACTACTACCATCCTAATTTCCCTAGCTAATTCGTACTGTCTTAAGGCCTCTTGACGAGATTAGCTCTTCCTGTTTTATGGTTCCGTGCAATCCTGTACTTACACTTTTATAAACTCATGACACTTGTAATTACTTTTATAATAATAATAAACAGCATTTATTTAGTATTTACCACATACTATGCATTGGGCTGAGCATTTACTCACAATGTCTCATTTAATCCCTAGAACCACACTAGGTACCATTATCACTCCACTTTATGGATGATGAAACTGAGGCCTAAAAAGATTAAACAACATTCTTAAAGTCACCCAGCTATTACATGAAGGAGCTGGGATTGATACCTGGTTTGATTACAGAGACTATTTTCAGCCACTCTTTTCTACTACATCAAGCTATTTGATTCTCTACCTTCCCCATTACAGTATACCCACATAGAAGGTAGACATCATAAAGGTAGATCAATTTTGTTTACTACTATGTCTTCAGTGCCTAGGACAGTGCTTGGAATGTAAGAGGCATTCAGCTGTTAAAGACCCAAGCAAAATAGCATTGTTAAAATACTGAGTGATTTTCCAAAACTACTAATGTTTCTGAAAGCCTGGTTCTATTATTGTGTAAACAAGAATATATCCATCTATTAATACCACGTTAATTTTTTAAAATTAATATTTACATGATTTATTATTACTTAAATTCAGTTTATGGGCTGCTTCTCCCACCCTTTGAATTTGCTGAGAAAAATCCAAACAACACGTGCAAAAACATGATTAAGGTTAATACTGTATAAAACATTATCTAAAATCAAATATAAAATTGTTGATTATTCTTATTTCAACACAGGTAATCTAAAGATTATTTAGTAATGCCAAACTAACTCCATTACTTTGTATATTCATTGATTCACTCAAAAAGTTCATTGAATGCTTACTAACAGGACAAAGTAGTGAAAAAACAGCTCCTAACCAGGAGAAACCTGTGATCTAGTGGTGGAGATAGAAAAGTAAACAATTAGAATACAGTTATATTAGAGCTATATGATATAGGAACATCTGACCAAGTCTTCTGATCATAAAAAAACTTGTTAGGAACATGGGATTCCTAAACTGAGTCTTAAAAGAAAGAAGTAGAATTTGATCATGTTAAGGTCCAATTGGAGACGTTGGTTTCATAATTTAAAACTTTTTTTTACCTTAAAAACGAGCTAAAAGGGGAGGGGGTGAAAGATAATATTTGAAAGAAAGTCTTCATATATCTGAAGAGTCTTATACAAATGCTAATACAATAGTGCTGATAGTACTTATTTGTGCTTGAAGTCCCAAGAAGAAGTGTGCTTATAAACTAAAGCTTAATTTTTAGCTTAATCCTCAGGAAACATTTTCAGATCACTTTGAGATGAGAAAGTGATCAGAAAGCTTTGAGATGAGAATACATTACTATTAAGAGGTGAGGGCTAGGCCGAGTAGATAAAGTCTCCATTAGAGAGACTTGTATTTCTAGTGAAATGCAAAACAACGTACATATATGAAAACATGTGAACTGCAGAGTGACACACGAATGTTATCCTCAGGTGAGGGTGTGTTTGGGGCAGTGGGGGTGGGGACATGAGATGGCAGGGTGTCTAAGTAAGTAAGTCTGGGCCTTCACCTCTGTGGCCCTCCCTGCTGGTAATTTGAGCAAGCCTAGTATATCTGACACAGCCAAAGCTGTTACCTAATGAAGCTTCAGTTGGGGGCTTTTGAGCCACATGATCTTCTAACAAATTTAATGGTTCTTTTTAGGTACTAGTGAGTTCATATTTAATACTTCAAGGATAAGGTAGTCAAACTAAAGAAGAGTTCAGTTCAAACTTATTACATGTGAATGTTGATTCCTCTATTTGCAAGTCAGTCAACACAGTTACCATTTGAATTTTTAGACAGTCCCTTATATTTTTCTCTTCCTTAACAGGTGTACACTGGGTGCATATCAGTATATTTTATATCTGAAATAAATATAAAAGGAAAAACATTCCTGCTGGGCTTGTCATCAGCATTTTACTTTTTGTAGTAATTAATTATGCCTTCTACTGTACAACATAGCTTAAGAGGTCATTTTTTAAAAATATATGCAGTTTAACTTCATGCAAGTAATATAGTGAATTATAAATTCATATATTCTGTATTTATATTAATTAAGCAAATTTTTGTTGAGTCCCAACTGTTTGCAAGGCACTACATAAGTGTTAAAGTTAGATAAAAAGATAAAATGAGGGCTTTCCTGGTGGCGCAGTGGTTGAGAGTCCGCCTGCCGATGCAGGAGACATGGGTTCGTGCTCCAGTCCGGGAAGATCCCACATGCCGTGGAGCGGCTGGGCCCGTGAGCCATCGCCGCTGAGCCTGCGCGTCCGGAGCCTGTGCTCCACAACGGAAGAGGCCCCAATAGTGAGAGGCCCGCGTACTGCAAAAAAAAAAAAAAAAAAGATAAAATGATCCATGTCCTCGAGAAACTTATAATCTTCTTTGATTTCACTGGAAATTTATTAAAATGGAAAATTACAAAGCAATGTAGTAAGTATCATAATGAACACAGAGGAAGGAATACCAGAATCTGTCTTGATAAAATTTAATCTGTAGATGATCTGATTTGTCTTGACCACGTACATGAGCAGCAGATCAAAGCACTGTAAAATTATTCCTGCTTATAATGGATCTACATAAATTTAATCTAGATCAGTTTAGTCTTGTTTATTTTACTGCCCTTGTTAAGGACTAGTTTGGGAAGAAAGGTCTCTTTTTAAAACCCTGAAAAATTAAACCACTTAAGTTAGTTTTTTATTAACTTTTTTACAACTTATAAAAATGAGCATGAATTGGTTTCTGTTCCAGTATCTGGATACCGGAAATTGTTAAATTTTTATGTAAATGGAAGACACTTTAAATTGTTACCTTTCAAATTTTCTTTTAACCATTGAGGTACAACCAGAATTGTGATAGTTGGAATTTGAGTTGCCTTTTTTTTCTTTTTTTTTTTTTAAAGGTTTCCTTTGGATCCTAAAAGAAGAAAAGAATGGGTTCGCCTGGTTAGGCGCAAAAATTTTGTGCCAGGAAAACATACTTTTCTTTGTTCAAAGCACTTTGAAGCCTCCTGTTTTGACCTAACAGGACAAACTAGACGACTTAAAATGGATGCTGTTCCAACCATTTTTGATTTTTGTACCCACATAAAGTCCATGGTAAGTAATACTACTTTTACGCCATTTTAACCATTTTTAGAATCCATCCCTTTTTGTTTGTAACATGGAACAATTAAGAATATATTGAGGGCTTCCCTGGTGGCGCAGTGGTTGAGAGGCTGCCTGCCGATGCAGGGGACACGGGTTCGTGCCCCGGTCCGGGAAGATCCCACATGCCGCGGAGCGGCTAGGCCCGTGAGCCATGGCCGCTGAGCCTGCGCGTCCGGAGCCTGTGCTCCGCAACGGGAGAGGCCGCAACAGTGAGAAGAGGCCTGCGTACCGCAAAAAAAAAAAAAAAAAAAAAAAAAAAGAATATATTGAAATTCATATATAATGCTGTGCCTCAAGAAAACAGCAAAACTGAAGTAAAGATGCAGGCTAGAATTAGTGCTCAGCACTCCTGACTCCAATATTCTTTCCCCAACCTAAACTGTTTTATTATATTGGAATTTTACATCATTGTTTATTATTATCAATAATTGACCCATTGGTAAAACTGAGAAATGGTAATGAAACCTCCAGCATCACTCTGCTCTGATTTTAAGATGATATGCAAATAATGTGTGTTAAGTGCTTTCAGGGCAGCACACCCAAAGAATACCAGAGTTACACCAAAGAATATAAGTTCAGAGGGAGGCATAACAGAAAACCTCATAGAGCCCAGGCATTTCGGCTGGGCTTGAGCTTGGAGTTTGGAACGTAGGAGAGGGTTCTTGACTTTGCACAGCACAGCTGCAATAGCATGATGAGAACAAAAGATAATGAGTTGAGGAGTGAATGGAAAATAAGTGTTAGCAAGTGATATTTAAAAGGAAGGAGACATTTAAGGTATAGTATGAATGTATTAAAACAATGTTTTATCTAGTTAGGGAAGATCTGATCAGAGGGGAAAAAGCTAGCTGAGAAAGACAGGGTCACTGAAAGGTTCAGAAGGGAGGTTGTCAGAGTGGAAATTGAAAAGTGCCTTTCCCTCATGTAAGAATCCTCAAAGAAATGTCAACAAAATAAAGAGTTTAGCTTTGAAAAGGAGGATAGACATCTTTTCCTCTCAGAGAGGAAAATCACTGCTTTTCTTGAGTTATTTTTGACAGTTAAATTTGTAAATCTACATGAGTTACTATCTGAATGGAAGAGAAGGGAGAGGAGATTGTGGTAAACCAATTATCACAGATATTAGAAAAGCTCCAGGAGGGCAAGCATTTCATTTCTGAATCCTCAGAACCTCAAATAGTGCCTGGTACATAGTACAAACTCATATATTTATTGAATTTGAAGTATACCTTGTTTTTGACATTTTGGTCATTTATTCATTCAACAGATGTTTACTAAACTTTACATTATGTCAAAATCCAAGTTAGATGCTGGGAATATACAGATCAAAAAAGAGTCCCTGCCAATTCCCCTAGACAGAAGGAATGCCAGTTGTAGGTTTCATGAAGACAGGAACCATATTTATCTTACTTGTTCACTGTTGTGTCCCCAGGAATTCATAAATGAATTCCTGTGTTTCAATAAATGTTTGTTGAATGAAAGACACAAAGCTATGAAATTAATCAAATAATCTGGGAACTATAAGTGGTTTAATATTATTGGAGTAAAAATTAAGATGGTGAATGGCAGCACTTCCCTGGTGGTGCAGCGATTAAGAATCCGCCTGCCTGCCAATGCAGGGGACACGGGTTCGAGCCCTGGTCTGGGAAGATCCCACATGCTGTGGAGCAACTAAGCCCATGTGCCACAACTACCGAGCCTGCGCTCTAGAGCCCACGCGCCCCAGTTACTGAAGCCTGCACGCCTAGAGCCCGTGCTCTGCAACAAGAGAAGCCACCGCAATGAGAAGCCCGAGCACCGCAACAAAGAGTAGCCCCCGCTCGCCGCAACTAGAGAAAGCCCATACACAGCAATGAAGACCCAACTCAGCCAAAAATTAATTAATTAATTTTTAAAAAGATGGTGAATGGCAGAATGGGGTGAGATCCTAAATGGTACAGTATGCCATGTAGATATTTTGGCATATAAAAAAGATATTTTTTTCTTTAAATAATAGGAAGGCAAAGAAGAATTTAGCCAGTATTAAATCATCAAATCTGTTAGAAAAAATTATTGTGTGGCAGAAAATAGACTAGTGAGGATCAGAATGAGCCAGAGATCAATAAAGAAGTTTTTAATATATTCAAGCCAGACATGAATGATATGGGCTTGATATGGATAGTAGCATTAAGAATGATGGAGAGGAGGGACTTCCCTGGTGGTTCAGTGGTTAAGACACCGCGATTCCACTGCAGGGGGCATGGATTCGATCCCAGGTCGGGGAAGATCCCACATGCTGCACAGTGTTGCAAAATAAATAAATAAAAATAAAAAATAAAAGAAATGAAGAGAGTGAAAAAAAAAAGAATGATGAAGAGGAGAGGATTTGTGATACAGATATTTAGGAGATAGAATTAATAGGACTTGATGACTAATTGAATGAAAGAGATAAAGGGAAAAAAGGGTCCTCAGGTTTCTGATTTGGAAAGAAAGTTTCTAGCCAGATTTTAAAACCTTGAGTGTATCAATAAGATATAACTGTGCATAATTAATAGGTAAATCTATTCAGGAGCTTGATACTTTGGAATATGTTTGTATTAAGTAGGACCACAGGTCTGAAATATTAATCAAATTGAGAGGATAGTATTTACCTAAAAAAGAGATCAAATCAGTATCACAAATAAACCAAATGTCTAAATGCATTCTATACTGGCCTTAGAATATTGCAAAGAATATTTTTAAGTCTCTACAGAATCATATTCAATAATTTGGAAGAGACCTAGGAAGTCCATTCTCTATTTCCAGACCAATGCTTTTATCTCTCTGAAGAGAAAAGACAAAAGGAAATAGGTGGCTGGAGTTAATTCAACCAGTTGAGAAACTTGAATCCATGACTACATGAGATAGGCTGCTGATGTTTCCTATCAAATTTTTAAAATCAGTTTTTAAAAGAGCAGTTTAAATACTGTTATCCAAAACAAAATTTACTTATTTGTGATATTCCATAATTTATGTTCAACCCTCTAATTTTATTCTGCTCAGAAACTCAAGTCAAGGAATCTTCTGAAGAAAAACAACAGTTGTACTCCAAATGGACCACCTAATTTAAAATCAAACATTAGTAGTCAGCAAGTACTACTTGAACACAGTTATGCCTTTAGGAACCCTATGGAAGCAAAAAAGAGGATAATTAAACTGGAAAAGGAAATAGCAAGTTTAAGAAGGAAAATGAAAACTTGCCTACAGAAGGAACGCAGAGCAACTCGAAGATGGATCAAAGCCACGTGCTTGGTGAAGAATCTAGAAGCAAATAATATATTACTTAAGGGCACATCAGAACACATTTTACCAACTGCCTTAAACAGTCTTCCTTTGGAAGATTTCAAGATTCTTGAACAAGATCAACAAGGTAAAACGTTACCAATTCTCTAACTGCAAAACAGACTAAAAGTACCTTCAGTTAGGATTTGATGCTTGAACTTCATTCTGTTCAAAGGTAAAGATATTTAAGGAAATTATTCCAAAATTGGGTATTTAATAAAGTTTTACCTGAAGTAACAACGTTACTGCATAATTTATTTATGAAGACTTGGTTGCAAAAAAAAATGGAGAACTTCTTATGAAACTTATTTGAACGAGAATGGAAGTGCCTTATGTGAGAATCATGTACTTAAAATTTTTTCTAGGAAATTGTATGTTTGTAAAGTGTTTTGTGTTTTTAAAAAAATTTTTTCCTGTACCAAAGTTGGGATATTACATTCTAAGTAATTTGCCTAGTAGGAGTTAACCAACATGAAATAAAACTTTAAAACTGCTGGATTTTGTATTAATTAAATTATTATTTTTGGCACTGTGATTGGGAAAAATTTTAGGAAAAAACCTGAAGTACAGGGCAAGTTCTTTTATTTAAACTTTTCATATCTTTTTATCAGTAAAACTGAGCTAATCATGGCCTCCCTCATAACAAAATTAGCTTTTGCAATAACTTGTAAAATATTTTGAAAATAGTATTTTCAAATGTGAAGTACCTTTGCATCATCCAAGTAACTCAGACTACTAAAAACAGGTAGCTGATTATATTCACCTTCTAAGAAAGTATGTTATGAAATAACAGAGATTGAGATCTAGCTTTTACTTTAAACAAAAAGATAAATGTATACCACATTTATTCTCATAATAAAAATATTACATATTCTATTTCAAAACTGATACATTAATAGGCAAACATGCTACACAGTTCCATGTTAGGAATACTCCCTCTGTCCCCATGTGTGTTGATACCAAAATTCTTAAGCTTTCTTTTTTTCCCATAAACCCACAATAGAATTGAATTATAGAAAAGTACTTACCATATTATATCTTTACAACTTATAACCTAAAATGAAGTCAATTTATCTTACACATCAGCTTGATTTTTGTCTCCTCTTTTAGTGAGAGTCAAATAGAGCAACCATACTGCATAACAGAAATAGAATGTAGATCTTTTTAAAAATACATGTGTCTCTGATAAAGCTATGCAAGTGCTAATTATTTTACAAAATAGAATATCAGAACTATTCTTATAGTTTCCATTTGAACAATTAAAGGGTTTGCCTTATTTTACCAGATAAATGTTTAATAAGAACCCTTTCCTTCAAACAGCTTTGGTCAAATCATGTAAAAATTTATTAATGTACAATCAGGTTACCCAGGCCTGATTTGAGCTTCTGACACCGCCATATGAAAGTAGCATATACATAATCACATATTACTGTAAATCCTTCCCATAAGGTAATGGCTACTTGGTGATAAAAATTTTTTTTTTTGTAACATTTGCTGAGATCCTAGCAAAAAGTCTTTTTATATTATTAGCACCCTTTCTTTTAATAAGGAATGCTTCCCAAGCAACTAGATGCACAAAGGCAGGAAACGTCTCTTTTAGTTATCATCAGGCACTTAAAATAAATATTTATGAAAATTCTTTTGTGTATAATGTAAACCTTGTTAGTCATGTTATCTTTTTTTTTTTTAAGTCATGTTATCTTTAATATTGGATGTAGCTCCTTGGAATTTGTCATTACATGTTTTCAACTATCTTTATGGTTTCAAACATACACATCAGCAAACACTTACTGACCATTTCTATTTTATACCTCAAAATAAGTTGGGCAAATAATCATTTAAACATAAACTATGTTTCCCAAGTATAAACTCTCACATGGTTCACCGCCCCTCCCCAATACAAAACAAAACACTAATGCGGGCTGATTCCCATCTACAATAATACTCTGATATCTTAATATAACATTTTTTAAATCACAAAAATAAAGCATTATAAAATACAACAAGCTTTTGGCAAAGTTACTTAGACTTCATTTATTAATATTTGAGAATACTGAATAAACTACCACTCAGTAATTCTAAAGTAAAAATTTTTGCTGGTTTTTCCATGTCATTTTCATGTTACTGTTCCAATAATATGCTCCAAACTCTCCCTGCATCAAATTATTTTAACATACATCTGTCTACCTTAAAACTACTTTCATTCACAGAGAAAAACATAAAAGGAATCTTTTAAAAATCGTGTTTTCAGTCTGTTGATAAACTTATGACTTAGCTCGTAGACCATAAAACTAATCAAAATTATAACAGTTCTTTGTCCTCTGCTTTGACACAATACATATTCTCTGTTTTATGCCTGTCATTCATTCTATGTCTACCAGGCACTAACCCCTACAAAGGACCAGCCAAAGGCTAGGATTTGATATAAAGATGAATATGACATGATTTTCTGCCGTTAAGTTGCTCAAAGTCTCTTGTGAGAAACAAATATTCATAATACAATATGATAAATGCTATGAAAGACGTATGTGTGAAGCTCTTTGAATTGGAATTTAATGAGAACGTGTAAACTTTAGACCTTTTTACAATGAACCAGTTTTCTTTTGAAACAAACAGATTTTCTTCTTATAATGACTTACCAAAGGAGATTTTCTAGAAGGACATGGGTGTTGACCTGAATCACATACAGTGTTTATTTAATGAATTGTAAGACTTTTTTTTCCCCGTTAAAATGAACACTGAACAAATTTGTTGTTAATGATACCTTGTTAAAAGGAAAACATAAGTAAGTAAAATATTATATCAAAGCCAAGACTGGAGTTTGACATTTGATGTTTTTACTAAACAACAAACCCTACTATCACGAATTTTTAAAAATAATTTTAACTCAGAGTCTTAAAGTGAACAAAGCACTATGGCACCAATTAGTTCTCTTACTTGCTCTTCACATATATTCTGTGCGGTAGGTGGTATTATCTCAATTTATAGATGAAGAAATCCTTGTTAATGTAATTTATTTATTCATTCAGACATTTATAATGTGTCAGCTGGCACAAGGGATAGAAATGCAGTAATCTAGGAAGTTCTAGATTGAATACTGGTCTTCAGCCTCCAAATCCTCTTCTCTGACCTCTACATTATAACCTTCTGTCAAATATATGAATCATTAAAATAGGACAGGTTATGTGTCTCAAAAAACTAAAATAAAAAATATTGTGTGTATATATACAGTAAAGACAGTCTGTGAAGTCATTGTTGATCTCTTCTAGGTAGACTTTATAATGTTGGATTTTTCTAATCTCATTTCTCAATGTTAGAATACGGGTAAATTTTAATTTTGGAATAATATAGAAAGTGGTTCCTCTTTATGTCGGAATATGGGATTCTTTTAGTATTTAGACAGTTGGAAACTTCATAAAATTAATGATTTTATAATGTATATTAAACAATTGCATATTGTTTTCACAGAAAATGTATTCTGAGTATGTTGATATTAAAAACTTTTCCAAGGAAATTACTGTCATGCCTATTATTTCTAAAATATGTACATAAACATTTCTGTGGAAATCCATCCCCTAAATTGATCCCCTAAAATACTTCTGTAGAAGTCTGCCTCCTTAAATTGAAGCAAACTGTAAGCAAAATAAAGATATGTAAAGCCTAGAAGAGGAATTATCATTTTCATTTTATGGCTCAAATTAAATCTAAACATACATTATAGTTTATTTGCACTGTTTTGAATACTGGTTATACAATCTACACCAGATATATGAAGGGCTATAAAAATGTTCTGTTTACCCTGACAGTAATTTGAGGCTCACACAGAGATTTATTTGTAGATATGCTTACCAAAGCATTATTTTAATAGCAAGGAAATAAGATGATTTTTTCTTATTAATTTTTTCTAAGTATTAAAATATTATTTAGTACTTTAATTTAAAAAACACTTTTAACATTCACTAAGAGACACTGAGCAAACTAGAATGAACCAGATGGAAATGGTTCCTGTCCTCAGGTCTACGGGGGGGGGGGGGGGGGGTGGAAAGAAAATTCCATTTGTTTATTCCTGCCCTCACTGCCCCCTACCGTCTTCCTAATGCCCTTTCAGAATAAGTTGAATCTAAAACAACATACCAGTCTTCAAATTTCTGCCTAGGCTTTTAAAATTTGTGCTCCAAAAGCTTAAAAAAATAAAAACTTTGGGTTCAATGCCAAGAAAGCAGATACGTGCCTATCTCTCAGATGAATTTTCAGTTTAATTATTTAGCTAGTATTTCAGACCTTTTTATGTCTAAATCCTCCATTCTCATGAATTTCTATTTTCACTCTCTTAACCACCACATCTTTACATATTGCCCTTACTTTAGCTTGGTCATTTAGCAATCTCCCTGTCATCTTTTAAGTATTAGCTCTGATGCTCCCTCTCTCTCTGTGGCACTTTTCCTTAACGTACCAAAGTGACATAAGTGCTTCTTTCCTTGAGTCCTGTTTTATACATAACTTGGATAAAGTCATCATCTCATTATAATGTTATTGTCTACACATCTGTCTTCATTTTCTGTGTTCCTTCAAGGCAGTGTGTGTTTGTGTGTATGTTTTTTTCTTTTTGGGACTCAGGGGTCTGGCATGTATATATTAGCCATTCTAATATTAGCACATTTCTCTTTAGATTTCACAAAATCTAAATCACTCCTTTGGCTTAGATTCAAAGTGACTGTACATAGAACCCACTGATATTTTCCTAGCATCAGTAAGTGCTTTTTGCCATTGGGATGATTTGTACAATTGATATTATGTATCAAATGTCTATCCCAGAAAACGTTTATGTCAAAGAACACTTAAACATAAATAGGTATTTATATTGTGAAATTTAAAGATTATTACTCCAACAATGAATTTTCAGTCTGTTGCTCTGATTACAATAACAACTCTCAAACTGTAATGTTTTCTGAGGGAAAGTAATCTGTGGTAAAACAATTAACTCTGTTGGAAAGATTTAACAAAAGTGTTCAAAGTTTCTTAACTTCTCAGAGCCTTTAGTGCACTCTCACAGTCCTTTGAGGAAACAAAATTTCTGAACCTTAAATTTGATCAGAGGTATTTTGGAGGGGAGGTGGTGGTGGAGGGTAGCGTACCTACCAATATCTTGAGGAATATAGTTTAGAAAATGCTTAACCATAAAATTCTCTGTTGCTAGAAAGTGGCTTTTAAAGCAAATAGAAAAAGACTTTGTTGAAATGTTTTCAGATTAAGTCTCTAAACATTATCAGATTGTAAAATCATTGTTTCTTTTTAAAGAATATTTTAACTACATTAATTCCCCCAAATTGTTTCAGCCTTAAGCTCAAATAACTTGTTTTATGAAGAACGACAGCAATAATTGGACACCGGGAAAAAATGGAAGAGAAATATTCATTTGAAGAGTCAGTCACCAACACTGTTACTATTTAATATGCAATTTTAGCTACGTATTCATGAGAGAGAAAATCATCCGTGACATTCAGGAACTAGCCAGACAAAGCTAGCCTTCATTGTTGTTAGAAGATGGCCTGCACAGCCCATGGTTTCCTATTAGACACAAAAATCTAATAGAACACCAAAATCAGGCAAGATAACCCTGTAACTGTACTAAAGTGAAGGGGGGGAAAAAAGCAATACCAGTTCATAATTTTGTCTAAGCAAAGACAAAAATAAGGTCACTATGCAAACCACAAAAATATTAGGTTTTATTAATAGTAACTATGCCTAATTGTCTAGTATCACTAATATGGGCCAGTCAGCTTTCTAAGGTAATCCAATTACTTACCTGTGCTGAACAGAACCAGACAAAACTTAAGTGGGCACATAATTTCTGCATAAAGACCACATATGCATATAGTAAGAGAAGTCCACTACTGTTTAGTCCTACTTCACAAATTTGGTTCTCAGGTAATTAATCGTATGCCTTACCAAAGGAAAGGGCTTCAAATAGTCTTGGCATATAATACAGTGTGAGTTTTCAAAAAGTAATTACTTTTAGCGGGTTAAAACACGTTTGGGTACTATGTCTGAAAGTGAGTTGCTTCCTCTTTTTACGCTGTCAGCAATTAACTGAAAAAGTTCAGAATGTAATGTAATTATCAATTAGTTACTGTTAACCCAGCAAACAAAAATTAATTAAAACGTGAAATAAGCCACAAGATTCATTTGTTTAAGGTGACAAGCCGTTCTGCTTTCTAAGTGAATTGACTGAGTGCACAGACTTTAAATAGGAGAGGTGCGGGAACAATTTCCACAATGTTCCACATAATAATTACTTGAGAATTCAATAGCAGGAACTATGTCGAGCTATCTTTACATTTCCAGCGGCTAACAGTGTCCAGCACCTTACAGGTGCTGTTTTTAAGTGATCTTCTCAGTCATAAAATTCCCTTTCCACAGCCCAATATATCCCCCACCTCAAAGAAGTCCATAATATTGTATGCCATGAACTGTTCACAGACGAAAAAGCATTCGAATCTGATGCTTGACATGGTCTACTGGGTCTAAGTTCACTTGCTTTCATTCATCTATTCTGTTACTGCCTTGGTGGTGGTTTCACTTTTCAGCGTTTGGGTATGTGTTCAAACACAAGACTTTTATAGGTGTTCCAAAGGTCCAGACTCTAAAGAGCATTACAAACGTACAGCGCCCTGCCGACGGCAGTCCTCGCTTGGTCCTCTAGACCTTGGAGCCGCCCTTTAAACGCTCACGTAAGCGAGGCGACGCCCACGGGTGGCCGCGGCGCAGGCGCGCAGGAGGCGAGCCACGGGACGCTGACAAGCGGCGAGGAGCGAGCTGAGCTCTGGGTCCTCGGCCCTGGCCGCCTGGACCCGGCCTCTAGGGCTGCGCGGGCGGCCGTCGAGAGGGACCGCACTGCGTCACTCGGGGCTCGCCACCGGGACACCCCAAATTCCGGCACCGCGCCTCGCCTCTCTGCATTTGCCGACCCCCAGCGTCGGCGCATGGGCGGGCGGTGGGGGGCGGAGCTCGCCCTCCTGGGCCGCTGATTGGCTGCCTCCGCTTCCCTTTCACCTCCCGGCTGCGAAGTTCAGGTGTGAAGGGACCGCGGTCTGCGAGCCCGCCGCTGTCTGAGAGGTTGCGGTTTGCTCTCGCAGGGAGGCGTTAATCTCGCTCAGGCTTCTGCGGCAGCGCCCCACCAGCCCAGTTTCCGGAAATAGTTTGGGTTTATATTATTTTCTCGGACGGTGGAAGATGTTGGCATTTATGTTCGCCTCTACACGAATGTTTTGCTGGCAACTTAAATGACTATTTTTCTCAGAAACGCGAGATATTTCCCCCCCCAGGTGTTCATACTGTTATTTTTCATGACAGATCTTGACCACAATACATACAAAAAATACATAGAGATGATAACTAATATAGTTATATTGAGTCTGATCATTTGCATTTCTTTAGCTTTCTGGATTATGTCTATGACTGCAAGCACCTATTATGGTGAGTATGAATGTTCTAAATTGTCTTTCTATAACCTAATCGGTGAAATTTAGAAAGTACCATTGTGAAAGCCAAAACTCATATCTTCTGAATGGTTATAAACTGTTGTGTTTACTTAATTTCCACGGCCTGATTTGCATTTACTAACATGGAAATATGCAGTGCCTTGAACGTTTTAAAGCTTTTAGTAAATGCTGCTTGTCAGAATACTAGTTATACCGGTTCCAAAATGTCTTTTATTTCATGTAATTATTACATCTAGCTTGGTGAAAAATAAGTGAGGTTAAACATAATTTTGCAAAGCAATTGCAGTGATGCTTTTAATAAGAATATTAGTAAGGAAGTTTATCAGTTTCATGTGTCCTGTAAAAAATAAAAAGTAAAAATAAATGATGATACAATGTTTACATTTGGAGATTTGGAAGATTTGTCTGCTGTTTGGTCACTGCAAAAGAACAGACTTGTTTTAAAGGCTGAAGCCAATTTGCATAAATATGAGGTACTCTGAACTCAAATCTTTTTTGCGGTACGCGGGCCCCTCACTGTTGTGGCCCCTCCCGTTGCGGAGCACAGGCTCCGGACGCGCAGGCTCAGCGGCCATGGCTCACGGGCCCAGCCGCTCCGCGGCATGGGGGATCTTCCCGGACCGGGGCACGAACCTGTATCCCCTGCATCAGCAGGTGGACGCTCAACCACTGCGCCACCAGGGAAGCCCTCAAATCTTTAAGATTTTGAAACTGCCTTAGAGCATAAGTATGCCTTTGTACAAACTTCCTTGGTACCCCTTTATAAAAACAATACCGTTCAGTTCAAAGGAAAAGTGAAAAACAGAGTGAGAAAGTAAACTCTTATAAATGGTTTTATCATAAATGATTACCTTTTTAGACCTTAGTCCTTTTGCAAAAAAACATGTGAATAATCGAGTGCGTGTTCTCCAGGGTACACGTGCTTTCAAGGCTGTTCATTCATAATGATTCCCAGTAGGGGATGAGGGCTCGGGGAGGAGAGGTATGTGAGAAGATTCTCCTTAATGCCAGTATTAACTATGACTTGAACTACATAGAATAAATCAGGATTTGTAAATTGAAGTGACCCCTTGGGGCCAGGCACCTGATGCAGATAAGTGAAGCTCTCCAAGGCTTTACTTTGCTTATTAAACACATGGGAACAGTTTACACTTCTAGAAATAGGATTTTCCCAATTTTTTTTTTTTAACATTTCACCCTCTTTGTCTTGCATTTTCCAATTTTTGATAGAAACCTGGGCACAAGCAATAGTTCACACTTTTCTTTACTATAATCACTCAGCCTTGGTGTTTAAGAATCTGTCAGGAATGGCAGGGACTTTAAATGGGAAAGCCATGACCTGTCTAAAGGAGGTGACTTCTCTACCTGTAGTCAATTCTGCCATGTGGGCCTGAACTTCCAGTTTTTAAAACAGAAAACAAGAATCTGGATTTTTATACGAAATTTCCTAAACTTTAAATATTGATTCAAACTGAAAAAAATTATGCTAGCTAAACAAAACATCTGTGAGCTGGATGCAACCTTTGGAAAAACCAGTTGCTAACCTTTGAGTCCTGAGGTGTGTAGCCTGTGGGAGGATTTAAAAAAATCTCTGTGAAAGGTAGAGAGAGGAATAATTGGATCCTGTTAAGAAAGGTATTTGTTCTATACAGTTCTTGAGAATGAATACATGCCTCCTTTCCAAAAAAATAAAGAACCAGAGCTTCATTTCAGATCTCCAAATATCTATCAAATACCCATTATTATAAATAGTTGTAAATGGTTCTCTAAACTTGGACAGGACTTATTTGGTCATTCCCTACTAGGATTGTCTCTCTGAAAATATATAATTCTCAACATGAATATTTTACTTTGGTGGCTTTATCTCAGTTTCTCTACTTACCACAGTATTTTAATCCAGAATGCAGTTATCAAAACTTGCAGCCGGGCTTCCCTGGTGGTGTAGTGGTTGAGAGTCCGCCTGCCGATGCAGGGGACGCGGGTTCGTGCCCCAGTCCGGGAAGATCCCACATGCCGCGGAGTGGCTGGGCCAGTGAGCCATAGCCGCTGAGCCTGCGCGTCCGGAGCCTGTGCTCCACAACGGGAGAGGCCAAGACAGTGAGAGGCCCGCGTACCGAAAAAACAAAACAAAACTTGCAGCCAAAGCTAACCTGTGCAGGCTTCATACAATTTATGCTCTACCTTTATAATTTTTCAGGTAACTTACAGCCTATTTCTCCTTGGCGTTGGCTGTTTTCAGTTTTTGTTCCTGTTTTGATCGTCTCTAATGGCTTTAAAAAGAAAAGTCTAAATCATACTGGGGCTTTAGGAGGTATGTTTTTCTTTTGAATGTTTAACCATATAATAAGTGGTTGCTTATATAATTTAAACTCATGTTTTCTAAATTCTGAATATATGAGCCTATAAATCACAATGTTGCATATTTTAGACAATGATAAAGTTATGCATTACTCAACTTTACTATTCTGTCAAAATTTCAGATACTAACATACCCTTTTAGTGTGATGTACAAATTGAACCTTGTAATTGATAACATCTAGATTAGTAGGATAGACTTTTGAGGACCTTGGTTATTCTGCTCCTGAGTTGGTTTAAATTTTCTGCTAGCGGAAACATTGGAACATTTTTCCTCGAGGTAAAATAGAGGAGCCATTGAGAAGAATAGCACTTGGAAATTGCTATTAATAGCCTCAGGCAGAGTAGTCCCAACTGAGTATTCTTGATTCATTCTTCAGAGTTGAGATGGGGACAGGCCATTTATTTATTCTTCTAGCAAATATTTGTTGAGCAGTTACTGTGTGCCACTCTTCTAGAAACTGGGGATATAGCTGATTTCAGATTTTATGGAACGTTTATTCTTTAGTACAGATAGGTAATAAATAAAATACATAAAACTTTTAATATAACGATAAAGTTTATGAGAAGAATATTAAAGATAATAAAGTGTGTATATTGGGGAATGTGGGGCATTCTTCTGTGGATAGGGTCTGGATTAACCTTTCTTCTAAAGAGGTTGTTTTGAACTGGGACCTGAAGAAGTCAGAAATGAGAAGATCTGAGAGAAGCATGTTCCGCTGACAGAACAAGTAGAAAGGCTCTGACACGTTCAAGCCTGGCTTGTTTAGGCGTGAGAATAAGGCTCATTTGACTGGAAAATAGGAAGAAAAGGAAAAGTAGAGTAAGATAAAGTTGAAGAAATGGGTAAGGGTCAGATAATACAGGGCTTATCAGGACACAGTAAAGATTTTATCCCAAACTAGAATCCCCCCTGCCTTGAACCAGGGGATTGATGGGATCTGATCTGACTTTGGGATTTTCATATCCTACCAGTGTTATAAGCCCCAAGACATGAGGATTCCCCCCGCCCCACCACCAAATACTTCCTGTAGGCTGAAATCACTACAGGATAAGTATTATTTAGAACTGGCAGGTCTTGAAGCTGCCTACCTAGCCTTCAAAATGCTGATAATCATTAGCCCTAATGCACTGTAGAGACACCCTATCCCCTCTGTGTTCACATACAGCAGATGTTTCATGAAGTTTTATAAACTAGAGCAGGCCTTCACGGAGGCAATATAGCCTGATAGGTAAAAGAACAAGCACTAGAATCAGGCAGGATGAGTTTGAGTAATAGTTATGGCTTTGGAAAAGTCACGTAACCTCTCTGTACCTCAGTTTTCAGAGAAATGGGTTTTTAATATCTAACCTAGAAATTAACACAACATTGTAAATCAACTATACTTCAATTTTTTAAAATTTCAAAAAATAAATAAATGCTTCCTGTGCATAAAAAAAAAATTTAACCTAGAGAAGGACAAATCATGAAAGTAATAAAGCTTAAACTTCATGGCATTTCATTTACAATGGTACATTTCAAGGTTCTAGGAAGAGCCCTAGCAATGTGCTCTCATGGTCTTCTTGTTTTGTAAATTTTACAGAGGTAAAAGATATTTTTGTGCTTTTTTTTAAAAAGAGGGCCCCCAATTTATAAGCGTCAGGACCCACAAAATCTTGATCCACCCCTGATTTCATTCTTAGGATTGCAGTAAGAATTAAGTGAGATAATTACTATAAAGTTTTTAGCTCAGAGCCTAGCACATAGCCAACATGTATAGGGTGCTTTTTATTATTAGGCACAGTTCTTCAGAATCATGCTCATTTTCCTTCTTCATAATTGAGATACACTGTTCAAGTTCTGTTGAGAAATTGAGAAATCTGTTGTTAGCACTTTGAAATTACTCATTTATAACAAATAATTTGAGCAATCTCTATTTGAATATAACAATATAAAGTTATGCTTTGCTAAAAATGTCCTTTCTCAGGTAGCCTTGCCTTGGTTTTTCATTGTTCTTGACCTGTGGGAAGAAGCGTCAAGTTCTTCTTGAAGTACTGTCTTCCTTTGGCTTCCATGCTGTATATGATCCTGTTTCTCCTCTTACTTTTCTGATCTCCACTTTTTTTTCTTTCCTACTACCATTTCCTTTTCTGCCTCCTGGCCCTTTGGCCTCTACTCCTCTCCTACCTGGCTTGATTTAGAATTAGAAGATGTAGGAACGTCCCTGGTGTTCCAGTGGTTAAGACTTCACCTTCCAGTGCAGGGGGAGCAGGTTGGATCCCTGGTCGGGGAGCTAAGATCCCACATGCCTTGTGGCCAAAAAACCAAAACATAAAACAGAAGCAATATTATAACAAATTCAGTAAAGACTTTTAAAAAAAAGAATTAAAAGATATATATTTGAATTGTAGCATTGCCATCTGCTATCTTTGTGAACTTGTCCATGTCACGTAACTCCTCAGAGACTCACTTTCTTCATCTCCTATGAAATAGGTCCTTATGGACTTATTGGTGAGGCTCAAACAAGATAATGTGTGGGACAACATATCTTTTTAAACTATAAAGTATTATACAATAAACTCCCCAAAGACACAGAGTGTATCATATTCTTCTGTGTCCTAAGCTTTTTTGAATAGCGCTACATGCTCTTATAATAGTGCTTAGGAAATATATGTAGATTGATTTTAAAACCACTACCCTTTTCCTAATCATTGCATTCTGTGGAATTTTGGTATCTTTTTTGTTTGGAGCTTTTTTTTTTTCCTTAAGGACAAAAAACTGTAATGTTGATTCAAGGTATATCATAGTACTTGGGAATACTGTCCTGAAGTATAACTGCAAGTCACTTAAACTTTGTGTTATAATTTTCCCACCCATCAAATTAGAGGGAATAATATTATCTATAGCATTGACTTATCATGAGGAGTCATACGTGTAAAATGCTTAGCACAGGACCTGGCACTCATAAAATAGCAACATGTATTTTATAAATGTTAGTATTGTTTTCCTTCCACAACTACTATTACAGTCATAGGAATTTTACTAAGGTTTGCCATACCATGTCTTTAGTGTGCTTGGGATTGAGAAGAGTTTCAGAACTTCCTCAGGATCTGGGTATTTAGAGTCCTCTGTGACACAGGAACATATACCTCAGTGTTGAAGGAAGAGGGGAGGGGTTGAGGCATTGCTTAGGGTGGACACTGAAGTGAAGGGCTCTTGTTTCCTTGAGAGAAAGAATGCTTCTAGAATAAGGAGAGGATCACATGAGGGTTATGTGAGAATGTACTTGTAAACTGTAAAGCACTGTGCAGGTGATTTGCTCCAAGAAAGTGTTGTCTAGTCTAGTTTTTCAGTGTGTTCCTTTGAACATGTCTGTGTGGACAGTTTGTCATCAGTCTCTTGGCTTGACAAGTTTAAATTTAATTTCACTTGCCAAGACGCTTAGGCTTAATGGTTTCCCATTTTTTTTTATTCATTCATTCAACAAATATTTAGTAAGGGTCCCCTGTATGCCAGACATTGTTCTGGGCACTGAAGACTTAGTAATGAACAAAACAGATAAAAATCCCACTGTCAGAGGAGACAGATGATAAGTAAGATGGGTTTGAGGCATTTAATCCCCAGAAGGAGATGCTGTAAGTGTAATGGAAGTGCACAGCCAATGAGGTGTTGTCAGGAAGGGCCAGTGGTTGTGCTCTGTGTGTTCTCACAAGGATGGCCTTACCTCTTTGGTTATCATAATTCGGGTCTGGCGTTCAGTCTTTTGAAATAGAAACCTCATTCTATCAGGTACCCAGAGTTGATTAGAGCCAAGAAAACTGGTTTATGTTGCCATTGTTATAAGAGACTAATATATGAGCCAGAATGCTACTTTATTAATCTGATAAAATGTAGAACTACTGGGCCAACTGGAATACAAACATCACTGTTCAGACATGTCCAGTTCTTGCAGTCAGACCACTTGAGAAGTCAGATTGTAATGAGAAGGTTGCTTTGGCAGAGTACAGAGTCTGAGAAACAGTCAGTAATGCAAATCCACAGGTCAAACAGTCCTGTCCCTTATATAGTATTTACGTCTGCCAACCTCTGGTTCTCTTGGCCTTCATATTCTATATTTTGGGCTAACCAGCCTTCTTTTGATTCCCATAGTCTTTCTCTAGGCAAATTACTTATAATATAATTGATTAGGTTTGAGTTTATTAAGTTATAAAATTCCAGTCCTACCTTTCCCTTTCCTGTCTCCCAGATATTATTCCCAGGTCCCCTTGGTTGGAATTTTGGGTAACTCTACTCCCACTATCAAAGACATTTGTAGACAGTGTTGTTTTACTTCCCTAGATGGCATCTGCCAGTTATAGAATTTACCTGTTTTAAGCTCAGAAGGCAGCCATAATTCTTGAGTCTTCACAGTCTTTGGGAGCATCCGATTGTTATGCAAATTAACTCCTTAGCACGGACGATTAAAGATGATAGAGGTGGGTTGAAGAGGTGGAAAAGACACCAAGTGGAGTTAGCAGTTACTAATCTAAAAGTTATCATAACTGGGAGATGCAAAAAGTTCTAAGATATTTTTTAGACTACATAAAAGAAATCATTCCTTCAAAGCACATTAGCTTCAATTTATTTCCTCATTCCGAACCTGTCATCAACTTGAACACTGATCACTTCATGTGATATTTTGAGGTGTTTGAAGTAAAAAGGATGTAGATTCCTTTTTGTAGCATATCAGTGTAGGTTTTTTTAGGGCCATCTCACTTTGGGTGTGCTTAAGACTGTGGAACAAATTGTTAACAGTGACTGACCATGGAGAAGGGATGGGAGTGGCGGTGGTGAGAGAAGGAGGCACTTTGACTTCTGTATGTTTTGGCTTTCCCCTCCAATACCCATGTAGTAATTTTGTAATAAATTTTAAAAAATTGAAAAAACTTAAAGGTTGGGTAACATAATAATATTCATCTTTGTTATTATAATAATAACACATAATTGCAATAATAATGATGTTCTTGTTGAGGTTTTGCCACTGTAACTGCCATTATTGCCAATGATATTAGATGACATTTATTACGGGCCTCTTACATGCTGGGTTTATAATAAGCATATTATAAAAATTATCTCATTTAACTTTTCACATCAAGCCAGTGAGGTAGGAATTCTTCTTCTTCTTGATACACCAATGAGAAATTGAGGCTTAAAGTTAGGTAACATCTAGTCATGCAGAAGTAAGTGGAAGAGTCAAGATTTTAACTCGAGACTGTTCAACTCCAGAGCTGAAGCACTTTATTTTACTTTATACAGCATTATAGCGACTTCTTGCACTCTCAGTAAAAAAGTACTAAACATAAGTAAAATGCCAATAACCGAGTATCTCTGGATGGATCAATCAGTCAGGATGGAGCTAACCAATAGAAAATTTCCTATTGCTACAGAAATAGGAACCTGGTCCCTTGTTCTATTATTTAATACTTACTTATTAAATACATGGTAACTTATTTAATAATTATTTAATATCTATTCTGTTACTTAGTAGAATTTTGCTTATTGTGTTATTTAATAAAAATAAATCTTCATATAGCAAAACTCAATCTATTTATCTTAAGAGTTCCAGAGAGCAGAAATTGTCAACCATGAACCCCATGGTTGCCACTCTTGGGTGCCACTGATCTGAGTACTCAGTGGCAGACTAGCACATTCTCTCCCTGAAAGAAGGAAGATAAAATTGTCAAAAGTGTGCTTGAAAGTTCAAAATCACATATAGAGAATGCTACCTTTTGTGTAAGGAAGAAGGAAAAATAAGAAAACATGCATATATCTGCTTATCTTCATAAAAGAAAACACAGGAATGATAAACTGGAGAACAATGATGTTGAATACATACAAAGAATGGAAAGAGAGCAAAATATAGAGGGAGGGGCAGAAGGGACATGGGAGGAAGTGACACCTCTCTAAATATACCTTTTTGTATAAGTGTGACTTTTAAAAGCATGTTTAAGAATATCAGTGAAGTTGGGAAGGGGGGGCATCTAAAACTGAAAGCAAACTAAAACAGATGAACCCAACTGTATTTTAAATGAATACTATAAGCTCACTGAAGGGAGAAAAAGAAAAAGAGTAACTTATGGACCCAGTATTTAACTATATTCTTTATTCCTTCAGTCTGGGGTTACAGGAAGGGGAGAATTACAAATTACTATTTTTAGTAGGTTTGTTTTTGTTGTAGTATGGGTGAAGCAATTCTAAAACAGTTTTTTAGATGTATTAGAGGATTGAGCAGATGAGTGAAATTGTCATTGTTGTTTGAGGCCAGAGTTCTAACTAAGGAAAAAGGCATACAAATATGGAATGGGGAAAAGCAAGAGAGAACCTGTGGAGATAGATTGGAATTGGAGTTACTGGTGTGATCTTGTGATTCCCCAAATATTTATGTGTATGTGTATATACATGTGTATGTGCCCATATATAAGCATGCATATATATGCATGTGTGTATATTTGTATGTGTGTGTATTCACTTGCTTTGTCCACAAAAAGCAAATATACTAGAACACACCATAAGCCTAGATTTTGACCTCTGCTCTCCATTCCCCACTGTAATGAACCAGAGCTCCTCAGAGAAACGGCTGCTTCCAGGGCTGGGGCAAGGTAGGTCTAAGATGAGCCTTGAGCATTTTGTTATGCCCAAAAGAAAAGAAATGCTAAAAAAAAAAAAAAGAGGGAGAGAGGGAGATCATGTCACATGAATGCTTTCTTGAGCTCGTCTATCTTGTCTGATATTAGTATAGCCACTGCTGCTCTCTTTTGGTCACTTATTTGCATGGATTATCTTTTTCAATCCTTTTACTTTCAGACTATTTGTGTCTTTGGATTTAAAGTGAGTCTCTTGTAGACAGCATATAGTTGGACCACGTATTTTTATCCATTTTGCCAATCTCTGTCTTTTGATTGGATCATTTAACCCATTTACATTTAAAATAATTACTAATAAGGGGAGACTTACTTCTGTCATGTTGGAATTTGTTTTCTATATGCCTCTCTCTCCCAGATTTACTCTTGGATGCTCTATTTATTGAATTTTCCTTGTAAAGTAGAAAAACATCCCAGGCTATGGGGGGAAAATGTAAAAAATAGAAACTTGAAAGACCCTATACTGTTTGGTAATATCTTAGTTGGTAAAAATGTAAAGGTATGGGAAATGAACATTTCCAGTTATAATATGAAAATAACTGAAAAAAATCATTCTTTTTTTCACAGCATTAATGTATGGACTAAGTGTAATTTTGTGTGTATATGTGTTTCTTTCAGGGCTCGTGGTTGGATTTATCCTAACCGTTGCAAATTTCAGCTTTTTCACCTCTTTGCTGATGTTTTTTCTTTCTTCCTCAAGACTCACTAAATGGAGGGGAGAAACAAAGAAACGTCTAGATTCAGAATACAAGGAAGGTAGAATGAATTATGTTTAACGTTACTTAAAATAGGAACCTTTATTGCATCTTAACATATCATAAGCTTTTAATCAGAACATGTTTAGACTATTGAAACATAAATTTTATGAGAATTACTTTAGTAGTAGCCTGATATAGTTTATTATTACTTTACCACAATAGCAATTGTAGAATTGTAGAAATACTGAAGTCTATCATTCATTATTCTAAAACAATATAGAATGTGGGCAAAGTTACCATCCCACTTTTAGTCATTTTTGAAATTTTAGTCATTTTTCTTTTAAGTTTTGAAATGTAAGTTCCTAAAAATGCATGATTTTCCTCCTAAGGAGAAAACATTTTTTGTCCTTTTCATTCCCTTGTTTGTTCCTAGGTGGGCAGAGGAATTGGATTCAGGTATTCTGTAATGGAGCTGTGCCCACAGAGCTGGCCCTGCTATACATGATAGAAAATGGCCCTGGGGAAATCCCAATAGATTTTTCCAAGCAGCACACTGCTTCTTGGATGTGTTTGTCTCTCTTGGCTGCACTGGCCTGCTCTGCTGGAGACACATGGGCTTCAGAAGTTGGCACTGTTCTGAGTAAAAGCCCACCGAGGCTGATAACAACCTGGGAGAAAGTTCCAGTAGGTGAGTCTTTATTTAAGTTTCTTTAAAAAACAAAAATGGGGAGACACAAGAGGGAAGAGATATGGGAACATATGTATATGTATAACTGATTCACTTTGTTATAAAGCAGAAACTAACACACCATTGTAAAGCAATTATACTACAATAAGGATGTTAAAAAAAAATGAACAAAAAGCCTCTTGATTTATTGTGTTTCTTATTTAAAAGCCTTTTAAGAATTTCAGTTTGTCTCCTTAATTGGAAAATTGCTATAGGATATTAAATCGGTGATAATAAATAATATTTGCAGGAAGTGTTATTAATTCCTAGATAAATAATATAGAAACATAGAGATTGGCCCACAGGCTTATCAGTGGGAAAGGAAAAGGAAGGAAATGATACAGTATTTCTTGGGAGCCTGTTATGTGGTTAGTGCTTCAATGTATATCTCATTTCCCCATTATTATCAACTACTACTACTACTAGTACTGCTACTAGTACTTTATCATTGTCTCCTCCTCCTTCCTCTCATTTTCCTTCTTTTCCCCTTCATCATCATTGTCATCATAATAACAGTTAACATATTTGAGTACCTACTATGTGCAAAGCAGTGTTCTAACTGCTCTCCATGGATTACTGTTTACTCTTAATAACCATGTGAATTGGTCCTTTTATTGTTTACATCTTACAAATGAGTAAACTAAGGCATAGAGAAGTTAGGTAACTTAGTTAAGTAACTTAGTTACTTCACCACAGTAACCAGACTTGGAAATGACAGGACTAAGATTGAAACCAGGCAGTCTAGCTCTACTAAACTATTCCACATCACTGCTTAGAATGTCAGGAGTTACTGAGGAGAAAAGCCTGTTTTCTAAGTAGGATGGTCTTTGGATTGCATCAAAGTGAACCCTTTCTTTAAATTAGTCTTGATTAGATAGGTACCAAAATATTTTGCTTTTTTTGACTTTATGTGTTTGCTGATTGTTAACCAGATGATTTTATCCATGCTCTTCTTTAGGGACCAACGGAGGAGTTACGATGGTGGGCCTTGCCTCCAGTCTCCTTGGAGGGACCTTTGTGGGCATTGCATACTTCCTCACGCAGTTGGTTTTTGTTAATGATTTAGACATTTCTGCTCCTCAGTGGCCAATTATTGCATTTGGGGGTCTGGCTGGATTACTAGGATCAATCGTGGATTCGTATTTAGGAGCTACCATGCAATTTAGTGGTAAGAACATTACCTTATTGTTGTAACTTATTGGTGTATTAAAGAAATGGGAACTCAGCCATGCACACTGGTGGCAGGGCCTAGCTGCTACAAAGAAGATATGTTTTAGACAACACTCATGTTTATGGGCAAAAAATTCGAGGACTGTATTTTTGACTAATTGTATAACAAGTTATTTTAGTTTCTTTTCTGTGGAAAGTGTAGAGCATTACAACAAGGATTTTTAATGTAGGGTTGTTTTTTTCACCCATGCTGTTGACTGTTAAATGCAGTAGTCTGATCATGACACTGAATAAATGTGTCCTTCAAAAAAATGGGAGGACTTCCCTGGTGGTCCAGTGGTAAAGGATCCGCCTTACAGTGCAGGGGATGCAGGTTCAATCCCTGGTCAGGGAACTAAGATCTCACATGCCTTGGGGCAACTAAGCCCACATGCCATGACTGCTGAGCTCGCACGCGTCAACTCAAGAGCCTGCGTGCCACCAACTACAGAGCTCTAGTGCCCTGGAGCCTGCACACCACAACTAGAGAAGAGAAAACCCGCATGCCACAGCTAGAGAGAAGCCCGCGCACCACAACGAAGAGCCTCCGTGCTGCAACTAAGTCCCTACGCAGCCAAAAATAAATAAATAAATAAATCTTTAAAAATAGAAAGAAATGGGGAAGAAATATGGAAAAGGAAAAAAAAGAGATGTGATAATAAAAACAATTGCCAAGACACAGGTTGTTGGGCGACCCAGAATGAAAGAGCAAAGTCTCCTCTACCATTTTGAATTTCTCATTCTTTTGTGTCAAATTGATTGAAAGAGAATTACTCCTACAGAGCAATGCGTAGAAGCTATGCAGGGAAGATAGGATAGTGCAGGAGACAGATGCTTTTGCTTATGGGACTTTACCTAATCCCACGGACGCAGAATTTTGGAGTCAGATCATTATAATGTCCCTCCTTCCATTTATTTTCCAAGTCCATTTGAGAAATAATTATTCTAATAATCTGACTATACACATATGATGTACTTTTCTACTGTGACATCATGTTTGCTATCCTCCCCACTGAGTTTTTAGTCCCACTCAATATATATGAGAGAGTCCGTTTTCTCCAGAATTTTCTGTGCTTTGCATCTAAGGCTCTCCTGTCATGTCAGTGTACTGACATGTTCTGTTAGGTGTGTATTTGCTCCACCCTCTAACCAACCACGTTTTCTTCTTTGATTCATCCAGTGAAGAGGCTAGACATCTGGAGAATGGTTCCCTGAATATAGTGCTCCCAATTCTCTTCATGTCCCAAGATAATCGACTTGTCCTTCCACTCCCCTTTCCACCATCAGAACATTTGTTCTCTCAGGTTCATTAGTCTTATCTAGATGCTGAGGAGGAAGCAATCTGATTTTAATTTATACCAAAGGGTTAGTAACCATATATGCACACGCACGTGCACACACACACACACACCCATTACACGTTTTTGTAAAGAGCCTAGGTTTTATTCTAAACTGGGCTCTAACTGGGAAGTTTCTGATCATATTGAGTGGGTTGGGGAAAAAAATGTGGGCTGGGGAGCAGAGTAGATTCATCTTTGTGTGCCTTCTTTGTGTAAGCACCTTGCTACTCCTGGGTATCCATTGTAGAGGCTCCTATTCTCAGGAGTCTCACAGGTTGGTCTTAGGAGGGGAGCCACTGGGAAGGCAAGCCCTGTCTGCCAGTTTCATGCCATCTCTGCTTTTCAGTTTCTCCCTTCTACTTTGGAAAGAACTCCAGCATTGTTGAGAGAGCAGCATTGAGGTGTATTGAAACCCATTTATTCAAAGAGACCTTTTGTAATCATGGGTTCCGTATCACTCATCATATACATTATCCTCTAAAGTCATTTTACGAATGGCTGAGAATCTTTGAAAGATTATCTCCTTTGGAGGAGAAAGCTAATTTTTTTTTTCAAGTCATTTGGATTTTCCACCTCACTTGCTTCTTTTTCATTGCAGGTTTGGATGAAAGCACTGGCATGGTGGTCAGCAGCCCAGCTAATGAGGTGAAGTACATAGCAGGGAAACCCATTCTTGATAACAATGCCGTGAATCTGTTTTCTTCTGTCCTTGTTGCCCTCTTGCTCCCAACAGCAGCTGCTTGGGGTTTTTGGCCCAGACAGTGAATTTTATTTCATTTACTAAAGTTAAAACTTCGGTAAATTCAGCTAAATTTGCAATTCCAAGTCTCATCCCAAGAAGAGTAATTGTAATGACAAAGCAGAAATGCCAGCTTCTCCTCTATTCCATTACAATGGAACTCCACGTTTTTCCTCTCTCTGAACTCCATTGTAACAACTAATATCTTTTTGGTGAAAGACAAGGCTCATAGAATTTATGCATATTTTTCTTCTGCTGAATGGAACTTGAGCAGTGAAACTATAATGTCCCTATATATTGAACTGAAAGTTCCTGCATGGTAGATATAAATTTTATTTTGTTTGTTTAAATCAGTAAAGGGACTAAAAGTAATAAAATTTTTAAATGGCTCAGTTGTGGCAGAGAAATGTCACCATGCCAATTATCCAAATGTTGTATCTGTTTTAAGTATTTAAACCGATGTGTGTGAAAGCCTGAATAAGTGTAGCATCCTGGACTTCTCCCATTACTTGCCATTTATTATTGTAAAAAGCGTGGAGTTGGGGCGGCTGGGCCCGTGAGCCATGGCCACTGAGCCTGCACGTCCGGAGCCTGTGCTCCGCAACGGGAGAGGCCACAACAGTGAGAGGCCCGCGTACCGCAAAAAAAAAAAAAAGTGTGGAGTTTGGTTCCTGGTGAGCTGTGAGGTCTACTCCATGTTTGTTCTTCCTTCCTCAGGGTTAGTGATGAAGAAAAGTAAATGTCTTTTTCATGTGACCATTAGAATGCATGAAAAAAATTTATTTTTAGGTAAAGGAAAAGAGATACGTCTAAAAAATATGCACCTTACTATATGTTTTAGTTTGTCTCTGAGCAGAAATTATCTTGAATTTAATATTTTTAATGTATTTTCTAGCTTTCTTTGAAATTTGTCTAGGAATCTGATTTACACTGGCATCTTGACCAGTTAAAGAGTCACTGGAAAATTATTGCAATTATTATTTCATTTGCTGTCCTAGAATTCACTGGAAAATGCTATGATTTCCTATTATGTACCTTCTAAGTTGTGCTCTCCTTTACATATAGCCTCAAACAAAGTGAATTCTACTTTTCAGTTTTGTTCTTCACTTTGATGTACGTACTAAAGGGGTTTAACATAGTATGGATTATTGTGCTAAAGTATTTTGAAATATTTCTCATGTGATTTCCATACCTTTCTTCCCCTTCCCCTTTTGCATTCATAAAAAAATTGAGGAGAGATTGCATGAATAAGCCACTGTCAGAGTGGAGAAAGCTTTATTTTCTTTGTTGGTGACCCTGCTACAGTGATTATCTAGAAATGACTTGGTTAAGGAAGAATTTTTTTTTTTTTTTTTTTTTTGCGGTACGCGGGCCTCTCACTGCCGTGGCCTCTGCCGCCGCGGAGCACAGGCTCCAGACGCGCAGGCTCAGCGGCCATGGCTCAAGGGCCCAGCCGCTCCGCGGCACGCGGGATCCTCCCGGACCAGGGCACGAACCCGTGTCCCCTGCACCGGTAGGCGAACTCCCAACCACCGTGCCACCAGGGAAGCCCCAGGAAGAATTTTTTAAAAAACAGTTGACACACTTAAGCCTTAAGCCAAGAAACTCAGTGGGTCGCAACCCATCTGCTTTGTGTATACATTCGCATCACCTGAGCATCTTTAAAAAAATTACTTGTGTCTGGACTTCACCCAAAGATTGTGTCTGGTCTGGGGTACAGCCTGGGTACTGGGACATTTTAAAGCTCTGGCTGCCCATTAGAGTCATGTAGGGAGTTTTTTAAAACGCTGTTGTCAAGGCTCCTTTCTAGACCAAGTAAATCAAAATATCTGAAAGTGAGACCCATGCATGGGTCATTTTTAGAAAGCTCCCTCCCTGGGATAGTCTAATGGTTAAACAGGTTGAGAACTACTAAATAAGAATATCCATACACAAATGTCAAATCATTGTGTTGTACACCTGAAACTAATGTTGTATGTCAATAAAAAAAGATAAAAAAGAAAAGAATATCCTATACCTAAAAGTCTCAAAAGAGTGGGAATTTTCATTTTTATGCAGACAACTATTAGCAGCAGTGCAGTATGCTGTCTTTATGGATGGATAGCTTCTGGTAATTATACAGTCTTACAGCTACATCACTTACCAGATCATTCCTGTGGCAGTTTTTTGGGCAGCCTCTTTACTCCTACAGCTGTTCTAACATGCCTCTTTTCTCTTTTCCTGGAGATTCATCCTCATAACATACTTTGGGGCAAAAATACTCATTGGAGCCATTTGCGGTTTGGTAGAATCACCACATCAGTAACACTTTGGGGACATACTGCTTCACAATCCTTTGTTTGAAAACCTAGGGTTAGTTGTGTTTTAGAATCAAAATTTTTCAGATTTTAGCAAGTGATAGGGTACCTATAAAATATTTTACTCAATAATCCCAAAAGAGGGCTTCCCTGGTGGCGCAGTGGTTGAGAATCTGCCTGCTAATGCAGGGGACACGGGTTCGAGCCCTGGGAGGATCCCACATGCTGCGGAGCAACTAGGCCCGTGAGCCAAAACTACCGAGCCTGCGCGTCTGGAGCCCGTGCTCCGCAACAAGAGAGGCCGCGATGAAGAGTGGCCCGCACTTGCCACAACTAGAGAAAGCCCTCGCACAGAAACGAAGACCCATCACAGCAAAAATAAATAAATTAATTAATAAACTCCTACCCCCAACATCTTCTTTAAAAAAAACAACCAAACAAAAAAATCCCAAAAGAATCTAGGATGGCACCCATTATCAAATGCAAATACCACCAATAAGTGTGTTAACTAAAGACTATGAGAGCCTCAGATCAGGTCAGATCAGTTTTTGTCGCAGAATTTAGGAAGAAACTTTCTGTTTTCAGAGCACTTTTGGATATGATAAGTGTAGATTTTTTTAAAAATGAAGCACTTTTTAAAAAAACTTATATGTATCTTACTGAAAGAGTAAACAGTTTGTGTAAAAAACACTTCTCATGGAAAGAGCTCCATGTAGCTGTATGATAAAATAATGTGTACTACTGCCTACCTAGGCAGCTTACAGGCATATATACTACTTCTTGCCATACTGTCACACTGTAGAAAAGAGCAAGGTGTATGTGGCTCAGGGCAGCTCCTGAAGGAGAGCTTTGAAGACTTGTCAAATGGAGCCGACAGAACAGTGAACTGCTACAACAGGTCATTCCATTCCTAGCTTTTCTCATTACTTGAGTTATCTATGCCTCAGCCTAGGGGCATATGTCTCTTTCTTTACTTTTTTTGCCTTATGCGGGCCTCTCACTGTTGTGGCCCCTCCCCTTGCGGAGCACAGGCTCAGCGGCCATGGCTCACGGGCCCAGCTGCTCCGTGGCATGTGGGATCTTCCCGGACCGGGGCACGAACCCGTGTCCCCTGCATCGGCAGGTGGACTCTCAACCACTGCGCCACCAGGGAAGCCCCATATGTCTCTTTCTTATTTCTAACTGCTTTACATGTAGGATGCTGGCTTCAGAAATGCCAGCCTCATCCCAATTAGGTATAGGCCTAGTATAGAGAAAAATCATGTGCGGTGACATATTGCAGACTTTGCCACATGCCTGCAATATGAACAGCTGCCGCATGTTTGCATAGTGGGTGACCTGGAGCCCCCATCATCTCATGTTCCTGATGCCATCGCAACGAGAAAAGACTGTACTTAGCTACCAAATCCCAGGTGGCTTGCACGTGGTTTAAACGTGAAAACACAATTATGCAGCTTAGCTATGGAGTACTGTTGCTATAACTCCAAGTGGAACATTTGGAAACTGAACTGAACATTTTAAAAATATGTAAGTGTTTAATATATGTATGTTTGTTAAGTTATTTGACGCTAATCAGTTCTCCCTTTAAGAATCACTGAAAGTTGATAATCAGGAATATATTTCTGGAAGAAAATTAAAAATTAAAAAAACAGTTTAGCTACCTGAATTTCAGAGGACTGAGATGGTGCCAGCATTTCTCAATCATGTGATGCATGTTTAATGGCTTTGGAACTAAGGAGTCAGGAACTGATTGTAGAAGGAGTGAGGGTGAGGCCAGGTTAGCAGGGCAAGGCTCCTGAAATTATTTTCCCTGCCAAGACTAGACATGTTCATTCTTTTACATTTATCATAACCACCCCCTTCAAAACTTATTTTATACATGTGGCAACTCTTTTTTTAATGTTTGGAGTTTTTTCTCTTTTTTTTAAATGCATAGCTAATACCCAGAATCTATCCTTCTTTTTAAAAAATTACAACATTAGAGGTAAAACTAAAATATGCTTTGCCTCCACTCCTCGGCAAACCTAGCTTTCTCCCACCTTCCCCAAGATAACTACTGCTAGAAATTTGAGATATTTTCCACGTAACATTTGTTTTGAGTGTACTTTAACATATATTCTTTTTTTTTTTTTTTTTTTTTTGTGGTATGTGGGCCTCTCACTGTTGTGGCCTCTCCCGTTGCTGAGCACAGGCTCCGGACGCGCAGGCTCAGCGGCCATGGCTCACGGGTCCAGCCGCTCCGCGGCATGTGGGATCTTCCCGGACCGGGGCACGAACCCATGTCCCCTGCATGGGCAGGCGGACTCTCAACCACTGCGCCACCAGGGAAGCCCTAACATATATTCTTCTTAATCAGTGAAATGTTGTTATAATTTGTACTATCATTTTGCTGCTTCAAGTCAGGTACTTACACCCAAGAAAAACCTGTTTAGGAAAAAAGATTAGAAGGATGTATACCAAAACATTAATGTGTTATCTGTTAAGATTACAGATGATTTTTATTTTTGTTAAAGTAAATAATTTTAAGTTTATGGTATATGAATTATATCTCAATAAAACTGCTATTAAAATACTTATACAAAAATAATTTTAAATACTTTCCTAAAAAGTCTACAGTCAAATATGTTTCTTCTACAAATCAAAAAATGCTCAAAGTAAACAAAATAATCTCTGGGAATAACCCCTCTTCCCCACTACCCTTCCCCATTGTTATTTTAAATGGTATTCCTTCTCTTTATAAAAGACCTTATTAGCAGTGAATTTAAAAGTAAAATGGGGTTTAGCGCAACATAAATCCAGTGCAACATTCTCTTGGTGTCTCTATGCCTTAGGCACTGTGTCTGAAGCTGGTGAATCAAAGATGAAAGAGGGCTTCCCTGGTGGCGCAGTGGTTGAGAGTCCGCCTGCCGATGCAGGGGATGCGGGTTCGTGCCCCGGTCCGGGAAGATCCCACATGCTACAGAGCGGCTGGGCCTGTGAGCCATGGCCGCTGAGCCTGCGCGTCTGGAGCCTGTGCTCAGCAACGGGAGAGGCCACAACAATGAGAGACCCGCGTTAAGAAAAAAAAAAAAAAAAAAAAAAAAAGATGAATGAAACAAGGACTGTGCCATCCATGTGCGATAAGAGAGGGGAAGACAAATGTGTGTAACTAGCATGTTGAACAAATATGACATGTGGTCTGTGATTTTTCAAAGTGACTTTATTTTTGTCTTCTACTGGCCCTTTAAACTTCCCATAACCTTATATAAAAACTCCAGCAAGCCATGAACATTTCTTCTTATTCTTAGAAACAGGTAGGAGAACAGGTGAACTGTGAAAGAGCAAAGAACCGTGTTCCCCTTTCCCACTGCAGGCTTCCAGCTAAAGCAGGTCCAGGGTGAGGGTTGGAATTTGTTTTTCTTTGGTTTTGGGTTTGGGTGTTTTTGGCTTTTGTTTTTTACCCAGGTTTGGCTATTCTAAATGCTGAATTGAGACTTTCAGTAAACTAAAATTTTGCTAATGCTGGTTGACTGTTTGCCCCCCAAATTCATATGTTGAAATCCTAACCCCCCAACGTGATGGTGTTAGGAGATGGGGGACTTTGGGAGGTGATTAGGTCATGAGGTGGAGCCCTCATGAATGGGATCAGTGTTTTATAAAAGAAACCCCAGAGAGCTCTTTTGTCCTCTCCACCACGTGCGGACACTTGAGAAAATGGCCATCTGCAACCCAGAAGAGGGCCCTCACAGAATCTGACCTTGCTAGCACCCTGATCTTGGACTTCTAGCCTCCAGAACTGTGAGAAATAAATTTCTGTTGCTTATAAGTCACCCAGTCTCTGGTATTTTTGTTATAGCAGTCGGAACAGACTAAGACACTGCTGTACAAGTGGGAAGGGAGATAGAGGCAGGAAGAAGATAAATCTGTAATGATACTTTTGCCTCTCCAGGCATGGCAGATGGCAAAAGCTGGTGATATTGGATGAGTCTGGTATAGAAGGTTAAAATTGGTATTAGCTTGGGGGTGCTTTTGTGGGCTATTTGGAGGTTTCCTGCTGAGCCCCTCTTTTACAGTTCTTAC